TTTTCTCTTTCCTTTTTTTTTTTCCCCTTTCCTTTTTTTTTTTTTTCCCTTCTTTTTTTTTTTTTCCCCTGAAAGCCACCCAAGAAGAGATTAATCACAAGGGGGAAACTCAGCTTCACCCTCTAGCTGCAGGTCGCAATTTTTATTTGTATGGAATTGGCTTTTGGAAAGCTGAAGGCTGCCTGAGGGCAGGGACCTGATATAAGAAGAACCTGAGAATGAAGCAGCAGGGATTGATTAGCCTACTTCATATCCCACACTCCATAAGCACACTCCAACCGCAATCTAACACACCGCTGAGCTGAATAGACAAGAGAAATTGGATTCCTTCCTAATATTTAACCTTCAAGTCAGCTCCAACAGTTGTTGATATGTTGTTCTACCAGCAAGTAACAGTCGCTTTTTTATTCCAGCACCCACCCACACACACATATATACAGTTTTATAAGTTATATGCTATATATTTACATATTTTCCATTTTCAATCTGTTTCAGAGCATGGTTTACCTAATCCATTTCAGTAAAAGTTTCAGGGAAGAACAAACTGACCAAACAATTAGGCATAAAGCTGTAGTGAGAGAAGGGAGGGAAAGAGAAATAAAAAGTAGAAAAAACTCATTGTCTGTTTCATGTCTTTCAAGGTCTTTTTCACACAGTCATTTTTATTTTACCTGTAATTTTCCCAGTTCATTAATTGTAAGAATAGTCAGGATTGTATCTAGTGATAGGGATGCTGCTGGCTCTGCCGTCCTGGAGGTTTCATTTTAGATGTTTCTGTGTAGATGAGATATTTTTGGGGAATGTTTTCTCTTACTGGAGTTTGCAAACCCATCAGAAGGCACCGTGAAACCTGGGCCATTCATTGCAGTACATGAGACTCTTGGTGGGGTTGCCCAGGACAGGACAGGACAGTCCAAGGCAGCAGCTCCTGACCCTCATTGAGCCCCTCAGGAAAGCTCCCCCCTTTCCAGCCTGAGGAAAAGCTCAGAACACGATGCAGAATGGCCAGGAAGTGGTGATGACAGTGGGGCGTTTGGGGGCTGGACTCTCAGAGAGGGGCTCTGGGGTTCTCTTTAGGAAAGGCTGGTTCTGGGGGATAATCCCTGCTCTGCAAACATGCCCATTCCACTTTGCCGAGGCCTGACATGCTGAGCAAACTCCTGGGGTCACCGAGAGGCAGCCTGCAGGCTTGCTGACCTCCCCAGGCTGCCTTCCCCGTGCTGGGGTTGTGGGATTGCAGACATCCCAAGCTCCCCGCGGCCTCCTGGCTCGTGGGCTATGAGCTGCCTTGGCTTCCGAGCCCCCAGGAGGGCTGAGCTGCCACCCGTGCTCTGCCATGATCCCCACAGTCTTGTGTGTACATGAGGTGTGACACACTCCCCATGGGGGTCTCCAGGGGAAATTGACATTTCTGATTCTTCATTCATGTCTGGAATGGACAGAATGTGAGAAATTGGGATTTTTCTCACAATGGCCATTTTGATTCATGCTTAGGTGCACAGCTTCCGTCCTTTCTGAGAAGCTGAACTGCCTTTACAGGGGCTCCTGAGAAGGGCTGTGGCAGTAGCAAGGACTCTTCTGTTGCTTGGTTGTCACAGGGTAAGGACACACTGGTGGGAAACACCAGCTTGTCCATCCTACTTACTGTATGGCCAGAGAGTACACCAAATTTTTCTTTATGTAGAAAGAACCAGTGAGCAGTGATTATGAAGCCTTTTCACACTGCATAACCAGCCTAGATCTTCTAGAATTGGGCGCTGTCATTTTGCAGCTCATTGTGAAAAAAGGTTGCCTTAATAATACAGTCTATTGGGAGAACATGCTGCTGAAACTGCTGCAAGCAAAGTGAAATTTTCATGTAAACATCTTCAAATATTTTTATGACCCATCAGCTTGAGTTTTATAAGTCAATGTATGAGTGAATACACAAAGCTTCTCTCTTTGTTTGCATATCCTGCCTCTACTGAGTTTTAAATGTTCATGCTATGTGGACAAAATCCAACTCTACATCTGTTTATGGCATATGTAGGCAGCATCATCTCCAAGATTTTTTTTCAAGTCTAGTTGAGCTCAGTAGCTTTGTGAAAAAGAACTCTCAACACTTGAGCTAGCTTCCCTGTACCCTGACTGATTTCCCTTACAGGCTTGGGATCCTCTGGATTTCTTGAAATTTCACATTCAAAATAGGACAGCAGCAACAACTATCCCCCCACTAAGGAAAGAGACACACATGACACATGTCCCCGGCAGTGATGGCCCAGATAATAATTATGTCCATGTGTCTCTGACCACAGTGATGTGACTTTCCAGCCTGTGGATCTGGAGACTTTAGCTCACAGAATAAAGCAATGTTCTGGAAAAAAGTAGTAAAAGTGAAACAACAAGGGCTATTCAGTAACTTAGGCTGGCATTAATGAGGACATTAATGAGTCTGCTGGTTATGCATCTGCTTCCCAGGGGATCCCAGATAAATCATAGAATTATGTCATGGTTTGGGTTTGAAAGGACCTGAAACATCATCTCATTCCAGCGCCCTGCCATGGACAGGGACACTCTCCACTGTCCCAGGTTGCTCAAAGTTCCACCCAACCTGGCCTTGGACATTTCCAGGGATGGGGCTGCTTCTCTGGGCAGCCTGTGCCAGGGCCTCACCACCCTCAGAGTAAAGAATTTCCTCCTGATATCTAAATCCCACAAGCTTCTCATAAGACAGCATTTCCTTCTGTGTGATTTCAGCATTTAGTCTACAAAATCTATGGATCTGTCTATCTATCCCAAGTGTCTATCCCAGGTGTTATCTCTCTGTGGTTTGAACTGATGCTTTAACACTAAATTTTACCCTAAATTTTTTTACCACTGGTAGGGACATACTGGAGCTATTACACAAAGCCAGGCCTTGCTCACCGATTTGATTATTTCTGTTACTGATTAAGAAGGAAAAGGAGTGCAGGAAAGGCAAAATGGGTTTTAAAATATTTTTGTGATATAGCATTTGACAAGTGACAGAGCACTACAGCCTTCATGATGGAAAATAGAGATTTAGCAGCCTCAAAAAAATTGTGGGAACAAGCTGATTTGATCATGATGTTTGTAAAGTGATCATTATGTTTCATTTTTAGAAGGCTGAAGTGCTTTCATGGGATATAAAGTGTTTGGTTGAAAGGAAGCACTGGGACTATATCCTAAGAAGTTACTTTGATATAGTTAGATATTTTCATTTGTTGGAATTTTTGCTTTATCTGAAATTTTGACTGTTCTGATGTGGGACTTTGCTGAGGAATTAAAGCTGTGGCCTTTCATGTGCTCTAATGATATGGGTTGTGATTCACAGGGGCAGCCATGGCAATAAACAAAGCAATTCCCTTCCCTGTGCACTGGAAGAAGCTTTTCCATTGCCCTGGCTTTTTAAATGCCCTCATTTGTGTGTGTGTGTGTGTGCACATACACATTTTATATGTTACATATTTATAATGTTACATTTTATATCTCTGCCTTGATTCTGCACATTCACAACAGTCTGCTGCTACCAATAATTCCCTGGGCTGTGTTAGCCATACCTGCCAAGTAATTTGGGATCCTTCCCCTACTGAGCATGCTTTCCTGATGGCAAGTACCTAAGACTGCAGGTTGTAAAGAAAAGCCATTTTTTTAAAGCTGAAACATAAATATGTGTTTGTGTGGGGATCCCAGCACACCCCAGCATGCTGGCAATGGGGGGAAGTAAGAGTTACTCCTGAAAGAGAGTTCCTCCTGAAGTGCTTGAGAGACATTTTAAACATCTCCCCCTTTTGATATATCTTGCTATTGAGGTGCTGGTTGCAAATTTTGTAACTAATAGTCTCGCCTGATATTTTTAACAACTTAATGAGCACTGTGACAAATGTAAATAGCTTCTCAGTAACACAAGTTTCCAGTTTGTATTAAAATGGAAGAAGGCCTTTAGTAAGACATAGCTCCTGCTGGGCTGTGTGCTGTAAAACCTCATTTGAGCCCGTGCCTGTAACCAGGAGCTCAGAGCCCAAACAGGCGAGAAGGATTTCTGTCTTCATTTTTATAAATGAGAAACTGAGGCAAACGAGTCATGAAGTGCCGTGTCCAGATTGCATGGAGACGGTGTAATAGAGCCAGAAAATGTATTGTGCTATCTTCCTGTCAAAGAGATGTGTTGCTTTCCTGACCTTACTGTTATGGAAACCTTGCGTGAGGTGAGTAGCCTTTCAAGACTGGGATGCCAGACTGTATTTCTTTTTCCCCAAAATAAATTTGTCCGTGCCACTAGAAGCTCACCAGTAATCAGGAAATATTGCTTTCCAAAGAGACAAGGTGCTTATCAGGTGGCACAGCTGCATAGGGTGGCCAGTGCTGGAGTACAAGAGGCAAGGGTGGGCAAGCAGCAGCTACTGCCCTTGGAAAAGCTGCTTTTTGGTCAATGTGAACCCCCTGTGCCATCACTCCCCCAGCACCAGCCAAAATTCCTCTGCTTGCCATCCCCAACACTGCTTGTGCCTGCTTTAAGCCCTGCTGTCACTGCTAGTAAGCAATGAAATTGTTGTACTCACGGTATTGCCTGGATGAAGCACACGTAATCACCTCCTGGAAAAAAAAAAAAAAGAAAAAAAAAGTATAAAAGGAGACTTAGGTCAAATTTACCACAGGAAGATATAAAAAATAAATGCAAGTAGAGGGGAAATGAGAAATGCATAAAAAAAGGAAAGTAATAGCAATTAGATGAAGTGACAAAAATGCTGGATTTAGCTGAAGGAAAATTTACCTGAAGCAACATCCAACTATTGGTCCTAATCTCATCAACACCCATCAACACCTAATGCTGGTAAAATCCCATTGTGTGGCTGAGCCCTGTTGAACACAGGCTACAGCTTGGCCAGGGCAGCCTGTCTCTGCTGGTAATAAAATGCTCTACAAAGTAATTCAGTAATTCTAAGACGCTCCATTTATGATTTTGCAAAAATTGCCACTCTCTTCTGGGTTTCAGACTAACTTGAGAGGATTTAAGAGTACTGTTAATAATGCCACTTCTGTGGAAAAGCCATAACCATGAAGGAAAACAGAAACAGGAAATAATGAGGAAAACTCTGTGTAAAGCAGGAGAATTCTCCAGGTGCTCTGGTAAGAGTATTTTTTATTAGACATGATTATTTTCTGTGCTGTTTATTCAATCACAGCATCATCTCCATCCCCCTTTTCCTCAGCTCCTCTGCAGTCACTGTCACTTCACATCGTGCACAATGGAAATAGATACATATTTATTCACCCTGGCCCAAAAGTAAGTTTTGTGGCACCTGTACCACTCCCTGTTCAGTGTGTTATGTCAACATTCAGATTCAGCATGTGAGCAATGTACTGAGTCCAGCAAAGGGTGGGTTTGCTGAGTCCCAGCCTGTCATTCCTGCTGACCTGCCATGTGCCCTGCTGGCTGGCACCATGGCAAATGTGGCCTTTCTGCTGCACACCCTACCAAAGGACAGGCCCTGTCCTCTTTTTGTTTCATTACACCCACTGCTTCATTCTTCCTTCTGGATTCCCCATCTCTCCGTGGAATCTTTTCTTCAAAGGTTCTGCTTCCTTATGGGACCTTTTGGTTTTCTCCATCTATATCCTCATCCACACAGATTCCCACAATTATTTACTCTTCATTTATTGGTTCCTCTTATTTTTATCCTTATTTTATTTTTTAGCACCTACCTATTCACAGATGCTTCATTCTCTCCTTTTCATACAATTCTATCCCATAGATCATGCACAGTAGTTGACCCACAACATCTTTATTTAGTTTGTATTCAACAGTTCTTCCCAAAGAAAGCAACCTCAAAACATTTGCTGGTTTTTTCACACGGTTTTTTTTTTTTTTTTTTAATAAGTTCTCTTGCCAAGACACATCTTTTTGATGGGCTTAATTTCTTTACACCTCTTTCCAGCCAAACTAACGTAATTTTCCCTTTGAGATGAGAGGTTTCCCCGTGTCCACTCATTCCACCTGACTTCTGGTTGCTGATGAAATCTGAAAGTAAGCTATGCTGGACGGCAGGACATCTATTTTCTCAGACAGACAGATTGTGTTCCTTTGCATGTTATACTTAAGAATGTAACCTACTTTAGGGGTCTTTAGATATGTGCCAAATAATGGCTACATTACACTACAATTACATATCCACACTTCGAAGAAAATGCTGTTTCTGTTGTGACACTGTTTTCATCCAGTCTAATGGGTTTTATTCCTTAGGAAAGTAAAAGATCAGAATGCTTCTATTAACCTTGCTCTCCTAAATGTTTGAGTAGTTAAATTCTAGGTCATTATATTGATTCACAAGGCAACAAGTAAATTCTGTGGTTGGTAAGTATTTGCCAGTTGACTAGGCTTTATCCAATTCCATCTTGCTCCTGCAGCAGCATAATATTTCCATTGCAGTCAGCTTATGGGTGCAAATGATCCCATCTGCATCTTGATTTATTCCTTACTAGTTGGAAATATGCAGTGTCAAGTATTCAGTGAATTTTGCTAGGTCCTAATGAGGATTCAGTGTAACAGGATTTTCTCCAGCTTCAGTCTTGTAGAAAAATTTTTCTGCATATCTGTCTTTCTAAATCAAAAAAGATACAGTGTGCTGGTAGATAGTACATTTTACTTCCAATAAAGTTTCAGGCTATGCTAAAGAAAAAGAGAATAGTGCACTTCAGTCTTACAACTTATCCCACTGTGGTATTGGCAAGAAGCAGAAAAAGATGGTTGGGAAGACGAGGATTAACTCCTGGGTCTGGCTGAGAAGACGGAATGAAGGGGTTTTAAGGCCTGTTAACTCTCTTGAAACAGAAGATCAGTAAAAAACAAAGGGTCAATAGCAGAATTTAGGGCTCAAAAAGGCTGCCCTGAGTTGCTCAGTGCACAACAACCCATATATTTAAGTGGTTTGCTAGACTAGTGTTACCAGAACATATTGTTTTCTTTGCTAAATCCTTTCTTTTCTGAATTATATGCGTTGCGGAGGAAGTGAATAGCACCTTTTCTTTATGGCACTGAAAGGCTGTGTCTGGATTGATAGGAACCACAGCAGCCTTTGTGGATCACAGGGACATTTTTTGTGATGACAGAGTCTGTCCCTGACCACATTATTCAGTCACCCAGGTGTTTGTCAGTCCAGGTGTTTCAGAACTGGTCCTGCTGCCCATTTAAAAGGGAGGTTCCAAAAGGTGCAGTTGCTGTTATGAAAATATATCCACTCGGTTGCTGAGTTAAAATCAGATTGTCACTGGTTTAAAAATCTGATATTGCTGTCCATCACACTAAAACGTGATAATGGCTCCTGTAAAGTTGGTAATCCTTGTGCTTATGCAGTGTAATGTAGTAATGCTCCTGACCAGCGTAAGCATGGAGATTTGGTTATTATGTAGAATAGTTATAATAAGAAATATGACTGCAAAAGCAAAGCAGTCAGTTGAAATTGGTCTATAATTAAATGCTTAGAAAATTCTGTGCTTAGCTCATTTTAAAATCAAGTGCTTCTTTGTAGCAATTTCCTTTCTTTAATTACAATTTCCTGTCTAGTTTGACATTTACAATGCAATCTTGGGGGACATGTTTGTGATTTATTATTCTTGCTCCTATCAGGATATCACTCGGCAGAAATGAGTTTATAAAATAAGAGCTCAAATTATTATGGCCTTTGACCAATAAAGCTGGCTCATAATTTCAGGCCTGAGAAAAGATTAACATTTTTGACAATCAAATGCAGAATTACCAATGGGGGACAATTTTGAAAACTATTTCAATTTTCTGAAACATTGTACATTTTTAATAAGGAGTATATAACTGGTTATATATCGGAGCACAGACTTAAGAGTAGAAAGAGCAATACTGAATTGTAAAGCAAACCTGAAAGGAAGACTTGAACATCTAACATTGTTTAGCCTCTTCTGAATGAAATTGAAACTGCTAAATCAACACTACTTGAAAATTACCTAATGGAAGAGATATAAAAGCTCAGACAAGCTCACAGCAATGCACTCTTCCTTTTCTCTAGCATTCCTGACTCCATAGGCTAATTTGTCTGGAGGAGCCAGGAGAAATTTTTCTGGGTTTTGTTGGTTTTATTTTTATTTTTTTTCAAATCTTACTGAATAAATTTTTTTCTCGGTTATTATTTTTCTTTTGGGGTTTCATTTAGAGAAACAGATGCCCCTGCTAAACTGCATAAACATGATCTATTCGGCTGTCACTGCTTTTCCAATGACTTTCTTTGTCCCCGATTCAGGAAAATGTCATTGTTCAGGACAACACAGAAGTCAAAATGAATTCCCCACGACTCGTGCAAATGTTCGAAGTTAAATGTGAACTCGTCTGTAACACAAAGTAGGCACTCTGCCTCGTGTGCTGGGAAGAGTGAGTTCTCAAAAGCTCTATCCAAAGTGGTAGGTGTGTTTTTAGTGTTAATTTGATGTAATGTCAAAATGGATGGCCTATAAAATTATATTGAAGGGGAGAGAAATGGTATTGGCAGGGAAGAAAAATCTGTATCTTTGGAGATCTTTAAAACAGCTCGTGTACACATTGCTAGGAGGTGCAAATGCTTAGCACCTCTCAAAGTCAGGCTGCTTTTATTTACATGCCAGCATATAGAGTTAAGAGCCTATTTTTAAGTACTGTGAATTAAAATCATTATTTTAAAGAATCTGTCCTCCCTCATGCCCGAGGAGATGGGAAAACATGGTATTAGTTACTTTGTTTTAGTGAGGTGAAAGTGAGAAAGTGGCAGGCTCTGACTCCCAAGTGGTTCCTGGGATAAGGGCAGGGCTGGGAGTCCTTCCACAGCATTCCCTGAGCCCCACCTCAGCTGCCTGTGCCATACTCATTAGTTATGAGCACATCAAATTCCTGTCCTCTCAAAGCAAATAGCATGGGATTATTCCATGGGATGTATTCTGCTTCAGGGGTGGGCTTAAATGAATGCTCAAGCACTCCTTTCCTAGGGCACCTGTCTGCAGTTTTAATGGGAAGGAAGTAGTATGGAAATTGGATGCACCCATGAAGAGCACCTGTACTGAGCCCCTGAGCAGGAGACCTGGCAGGGATGAGGGGCTGCTGTCTTCCCAGAGAAAAGACTCCAGGCAAGTACATGGGCTGGTTAAAACATATAGCTCTGAGGTGGGGAAAAGGAGTTAAACCCGTGGAGCTGCATGATTTGCTTAGAAAATTATCTGAGCAGTTCCGAAAAACAACGTGGTGGCAGAAGTCAATGCTTGCTAGAAAGGAGGAAAGTTCAGTGAGTAATGAGACCAACATATCTTCATCATCCAGTGTCAAAACAGGAATTTTGATGGCTGGGTATGTTTGGCTTTGGGCTGTGACCAGTAATGATGACTAGAGAACCATTTTCTCCAGCCACTTCCATTGCTTAATTGTTTTCTTACAGAGTTACGTCAGAAAGGAGAAGGATTTGTTAACCTGTCATCTTTGCCTATCTAGTCTGGAAAGGCACGTGTTATGAACTCAAATATCTTCTGGCTATAAAAAGGTTTTATGCAGTCATAAAACTGCCGAGTTTACATAGGAGCTGCACATGCCAGCACACACCTGCCAAGAGTCTCCGTTCAGTCAAACTCTGAGACATAATAGGTCATGCTCTGTCTCCTCTCATTAGACCCTGGCCAGGAGGCCAGTTCTGGCAGCTCAGTCCAAAGGCTCCAAAGGCCTTTCTAAACATCTAGAAAAGTTTTCCCTATTGAGTAGGATTTGTGTAGGAAACACACAGTGTGTTCTAATTTGACTTGAATTCCTAAATTGAAAGAATTAAATTACCTCTCCAAAAATCTTCTCTCTTTTCTTTAAGGATTGTGTTATACTCTTTAATTCTGGGCTGAGTGAATTCCCATACAGAAAGAAAAACATACTTATGAGACCAGGCTCCTCAGCTGATGTGAATCAGCAGAGCATCGCTGGTGTCAGTGAAATCATGCAAGTTTATACATGCTGATTACTTGGCCCTTAACATAACAAGGTTTTCCTAGAGCTGTGTGTTTTGACTCTGTCAAGTCTTTCAATCCACATATGGATTATATATATTTTTTACTTATGCACAGATGTTTTAGGCCATGGATAGAAATAGTCTTTTGGGTGCTGGCAGGATTCCTCAGTGCTAATGTTATTATTTTAAAAGTCATACCAGTTACAGTTTCAAGTGCAGACAGTGACAAATACAGCAGCACAACTTTGCTCAAGAATGTACCACAGAGAGAAAGATCATTTTGCTGAATGATGATTCCCCCTTGGCATTACCACTGTAACAAGACTGCCATAGATAAATGTGTAATAATTTTGTTATTCTGAGCCACAAATGGCAGTTCTTTGGTTGTAGCAAACTCTTCTACTTGACTACACTGCAGCTGTAGGTATCCTGATAGACTGAATTTATAAATATTTGTAGACTTCTCTTCCATTCTTACTACCTACCTCTCATGCAGCATCTAGAGTTTCTGCTGCAGAAAAAGAAATGGTACAAATATCTCAAGGTACTGATTCCTTTTTGGCATCAATGTTCCCTTGTCTGTGGAAAACAGATGTAATAACAGTTTGGTGGGAAAACAGGATGTTGTTTCAGCCTAGTTTAGGATGCCTTCAGCAACTGTGATATATTAGGAGACCAAGATTTTCAACATGAGGAGCTTTGAAAATCCTCTCCTAGTTTCTTTATTTATGGACATATTTGAAAATGGACTTGTTTGCCAGATTATGAAGAAACCAGCACTCCTCATTATTTACACCTGGATCTTCAGGATTAGTCCTCTCCCAAGTGGAACCATAAAAATTCATATGAAGGCACAGTCTGTGATCCAAGAACTTGGGTTTGTTTGCGTTCTTAAAGGTAGAACAAGCCATCATCTAGCCTGGACACAACATTGATAAATTCCAACCCCTGAAGAGAATCCAAGCACCAAACATTACCCTCTCAGGGTGTCTCTTGGGTGCGAGCCCAAAAGCAGAGCTGCTCCTTTTCTCCTATTGATCACACATGAAATGTATCTCATCTGACTCTCCTTGAAATCCGTGGGGGTTCTGTCATTAAGTCAACAGAAAGCCCACACTTTATTATTTGTAATGTATTTCTTATTTGCTCAACCCGAGCACTCCTTTTGGTGTTTTCCGGGTAAGCAGAAAGTTCAGGAGGGAACCCGGTTCCAAAGATTTTTTTCCATGGATTCCAACAGCTTCTGATTCCAACACCAGCTGGAGTCCAGAACTAGGTTCAGCATCCCCGCTTGTCTGTTTTGACTCTGCTCAGCAATGAAGAAATGCAGGAAAGGGGCTTGGTGTGCAGCAAACAGCAGCACTTCAGCTCTGTGAATTTTTGCACGCTTTGCTATTTCCTAATGTTTGTTTGGATTTCGCATACTGCCCAGGCAAAATTAATTGCTTGCACATTTCTGAAAATTTAGTCCAATGATCTCTTTTTCTGTTTCCTGGGGTATGTATGCTTTTGGCTGCCAAAAATAACTCTGAGAGACAGGTTACATGGAAGCTGGGATTATCCATGGAAAGTAATAGTGGTACTCTCATGCACGAAGAATGAGCAGGCTGCCGATTGTAATATGTTTAAAGGGTCAACAGAAATCCATACGTGGTCAAGAAACGAGACAAACATCGGCCACCAGTCTGATGGGAAAAGCAACATCCATTAAGTCCATTAAATTTAACATTGGAATCAATGTTTAAACCACAAGAAGTAATTAGTGTAATTCATATTACAGACCTTTGGATTTTTGAAACCGGGTTTAATTATATTGAAAAATGACAGCTTCATTTTCCTTCTATGGGTAGGTTACTACCATGTTCCCGATGCTTTTATTAGGGCTGGGTGCTGATACCAGGTTTTTAATGACATTAAGCAAAGTAGTGTTTCAGCCATTTGAGGAACAATAAATCAGGCTAGATTCTTTTTGAATGGAGACAACACTGATCAAGTGGCTTTTAAATAATTTTTCTTCATCACTGAGAAGTGAAGCTGTTCACTGGAAACATCAGCCCATGGGAAAAAAATTGCAAGTTGTAGAGTGTGGAGTGATATTTGGATTCTCTGGCTTTCTTTGCCTGCATCAATGGACAATTCATGAGCTACTGCTAAGCTCTGGAAAGGTATCTCTGTAATCCTTTGCCAATACAAACTCCACATAACTTTTACAAGGTCTTTCATTAGCAGTGTCAGATTTGAAGAAAGATGGAGTGATACTGCATCCTCTGGACTTAAAACCTTTTAATATTGACAAAGACATTGAAAGGAAAGTAAATGTGGCCATGAAGATGCACAAAAAGTGTGAATTTTCATAATATTTTCCTTGCTGGTTTTGAGGAAAGTAAAATGTTTATCTTGTTTCTATCTTCTTTATGTGCTCCTACTTGACTCTTCTTTCTTCAATCACATTCTTTCACTGGTTCTGTTTAATTTGGGATCTTTTCTTTACTGGCCAAATTTTGCAGAGCTATCAGTAATCAGTATGTAAAGGTCATGAAAAACCAGTGGTGCCTTCTCTTTTGACTTCCATTAATGCAAAAAATAATGCAAATCATTGATTTTAAAATAAGTGCCTCTTGGCCTGGAACTGTTTCCTGGTTCCACCCTGTGCTTGGGATAGAGGAAAGCATTTTATTTACTGAGCAATGCAGAGAAATGGGAATGTACATATACAGCCTGAGTTTGTAAATAAAGGTGCTGAAACCATGCGAGCTCTGTCATCCTGCTTCTGTGTACCTGTAGAGCAATTCAAAGTTTCTGAGTCAGGAGTGTGTGACTGAATGTTGTGTAGGAAACCATCAAGGAGTGGGATAATGACTTGAAATCTCTTGGTCTGTGGTCTTTCATTTAAACTGACTACAAAAGTAAAGTAAAAATCCAGGTAGCTTTAAATTGTTTAAATTTAATTTGAATTGTTTGAAAATAGGGAGCATCCAGCCTCTCCCTACACCAGAGGAATTAAATTTAAAGAGATGAAAATGAAATTATACTTCCTCACAGACACCACAAGGCCTTGGGTCTGGCTGTGACCCTTCCAGCCATGGAGGCCCAGTCATGGTGTTTACAGGTTTGTGTTCACCACGCTGCAAGGCAGGGATGTGGCGGAGCACAGAGACCCCAAGGAATGTTCCGCCAGGTCTTGGAAAACAAAAGATGAAGCTGCCAAATAAGAACCCAGGAAATTCAATAGGTATTGCTGCAAAGAGGATGAGCCATATGCAGGAGGGGCACCATCAACAAGCCTTAGTGATGTTGGTGCAGAAGGCAAAGGAAAGTAGTGCAGCAGTAGAAAGAAAGGGAGGCAGATGTAGTATGATGTGGGATCATTTTGTCAGCTCTTTGGGTGAAAAACCTGTTTAAACTGGTAGAGAAGAAAGCTCAGTATTTAGGACTGAGCAGTACTGAAGGGCCCTGCACCAACAAGTGAAGACAGCAATTCTCTGTAGCATTTTCTGACCGTGGGGATTATGAGTGCAGGTACAAGATCTCTTTATAGGGCATGGGAAAAAGAAAGAGGGAAGGAGAAGATTCCAGACCTGTAAAGAGATTTCCAGCATAGATTAGTCTTTGGGCATGTTGATACTGTATGGATAGATGTACACTCATCGTGCTCATGCTATTCACTGAAAAAAATCCTTCTCATGAGGGATTATTAGCTCAGGCTTGGTGCCAGTGCAATCACATGGCTTCTGTCAGATTGGAGCGTGGGCAGAGCTTGCTCATGGCTGTTTGCAATATGTGGTGTAAACATACCCAAAGAGTAATAGCAGGTGGTAGCAGAGGAGGTGGATGGAAAGGAAGACTTGGAACAAAAGATGCTAAGCTTCATTTGCCGTATGATGAGCCAAATTCATCATTGGTGTAACGCCCTGAAGTCAGCGGAGTTATAATAATAAAATTAGTCCAAGGAATCAGATCCGTCCCTGGCACTCCATGCAATGCCTTTGATCTGATGAGGTATAAGTCATGGCAGCATCTTGCCTGCTGAACTCACAGCATGATGCCTCCAGGGTGAAACATCGGGAAAAAAATCTCACAATGGCACTGGGAAGTCACGAGCTAAATTTTAAATGTACATTTCAGTTTGAAATCCTGGCAGAGTAGTTTTTTTCCTTCCTGCATATTTGTCCCAAATGGTAACAATATAATGAAATCTCTAGCCACACATTCAGTGCTCAAAATGGGATTAATTTCTTTCTGTTTGGCTAGTACAAATAACTGCACATGAAGAGTTTATGCAATAGCAGAGGGGGTTATTTTGTCTTGGCAATGGTTTTGTCTGGAGCGATGGAAGAAACTGAGGTAACGTGAATATTGTATTTAGTTTTCTTCATCCAGCATTCTTCAACCAGCATTTCATTTGGCACTCCCTACTTATTAAAGTGCTCTTTTGCATTGCTTCCCAGCTTCAGCTCTGCAACTCCCAAGCAGGCCAAACACAATTCCTCTCACCCTCACTTCTCCTTCCTGAAAGAAAAACTCCAAGAAAAAGCTAATACAAAACCCAGGAAAACAAGCCAAGTATGCCCCAAGAACCAAGCACATTTCTCTCCCTTTTTCATTATTGAGTAAATGCACTCAGAAATTGTACTGGTTAAACCATCCTCAGCTGGTTTTTACCTGCCTTGAATGAGCTCAGTGAGTGAGTTCTCAATTTACAGTAGCTGAGAATCTGGCCCTTGTTAGTAAGAGTTTTAAATAATACAGGATCAGCCACCCTTCAGGAATTTGAATTCTCTCTGAGCCTGGGATTTGTGGTCTGGGAGGCTGAACTGGCTGTCCACTGGAAGTGGTAAGTGGCAAGGAATGGGTGCTCAGGGACGTCTCTGCTGAGCAGCTGCTTCACAGAAGGGCTTTTACCCTTAGGGCTACCCAAGAGCACATTTTTGGTGTTGTTCTTTAAGAGGACTAAGCTACTGTCTTTCTCTGCATCTTCACTCCCTCTTACTTGTTCTGTGGTGAAGAGGGATGCTGCAGATGGCAACTTTTCTGTAAGAAATGATACCTGTGCTTGATATCCCACACCTATGGGAGCAGAACTGTGCTTGGCACTGGTGCTGTCCCTGTGCAGAACAGCTCCTGCAAGAGCCAGAGCTCCTTGGAAATATGGATTCCACAGGTATGTTCCCTGTGGGTTACTCTCTACTCATTCTTGAACCTCTTGTAGAGCCTCAGCAAAGCTGGCTGAGGGAGAGGTCTCCAAGCCATTTAATTCCTGCAAATGTGTGGAAAAATACAGAGCCAAAGAAGAAAGGAGGCAAAAGTCATACACGCTCAACTCTTTGTAACAAGGGACCTAGAGGCCACATCCATGTCTAACCACAGAGAAATGGAAAAAAAGCTTCTTATTATAGTTTTTACTTCTGTTTATAAGCTATCTGCTCAAGCAGTTTTAAAAAGCACTGAGGTGCAACTGAACATGTCATGTTCAAGTAATATATCAGACAAAAGTAGTTAATTTTTTTTCTTCTCTTGAAATGTCTTGAAGTAGATCAGAATGTGGTTCTGTGATGGCTTTAGGTTTGTCAATCTTTTGTGAACCCCTTTTTTCCCTATTTTTTCAATCCCACTGGGAAGAAATTTGATGCTAGTAGCCCACACTGAGCAGTGTGGCCTCACCACCACTGGGCAGATGGGTTATGTGTTTGGATGAGCGAGAAAGCAAGTGCATCTGGCTCAAATGTCACCTCTGAATTTCAATTGCCTTTTCCACTAACATCATTCATATACGAGACTCAGAAATGCATTTTGCGCAATTTATTGTTATTCTGATTTGTATGAGAGTTGTGTGGAGTGATCCCAGAGAAGACAGGGCACAATGTGCTTAATTAGTTAAGGTGTAGCCCTTGATAGATGCAATCTATTTGAATTTATAACAGACAGGTAAGAGAAAAGGAGGAAATGGAAGCACAAAGGGGTAAAAGGACTTGGTCAAGGTCACATCTGTGTAAGTAAAACTTGATCACTCAAATGTTCACGGCAAGTAAATATGAAAGGAGAGCAGTCGGCCAAAGTAAATTCACTTTAAAACCTGAATGAAAATAATCAATAGTATTCACCCACTGTGTCCCAAATGCCTGAATCAATTTGATAACAAACAGTTTGTTCCCTTTTCTTAGTTATTTGTAAAGAAGTGGCTTGATTGCCAGTGTGCCTAATTCCAGACATATGCCAATTCCCTAATGGTAATGGAGCTACACTACCGCATGCCAAGACTGAGGCGGATACTCAGCTCTTTCCTGCTAGATTTCTCCCAAAAGATCTGCAGTCAAATCCCTGTTTAACGACTATCAGACGAACATATGTGCTGCTTCGTGGATCCGCTTCCCATCCAGTGTAAACACAGCACAGCAGCTCGGTTCCTGTGCTGCGGTCGCGGCCCTGTTTGTAAGCACGAGCTCGGGCTTGCGTGTAGCTACACGAGTCCGGGGCCACCTGGGTGCTTGCTGGGAGCCACTCCTGCTGTGGCACCTGGGACTTCTGCTAGGAGAGCTGTCTGCAGCCAGTCCCTCTCCCAGGAGCCGGCTCTGTTAGCCAGTGCCTGCTGGAAGAGGTTGCAAGGGGGCTGAGCTCAGCAGGAGCTCTCTGGGCACAAAGAACGGCTTCCTATGGAAAATGTGGTGCTGGTGCTCCTGCTCTGTCAGCTCCAGGCTCAGCAGCTGGGCCCATGGGAGAGGCACAGGGAGCATTTACAGAGACACAGGCACAGATTTCCTATAAGAACTGCCACAGCCATCCTGCAAAGGGGTCTGCTCTCACTTTGGCACACACCAGCCTGCAGGGCCAAATTAAGATAGTGAGTTCTGCTTACGGTTTAGACGAAGTTCTCAAAATGGTCAGTCAATTTCAGCTTTTTTTTTTTTTTTTTTTCCAAAAGCAACAAGAAATTGAATGTATTTGGGAGTACTGATGGTGGGACAAATACACCTTTTTGGAAGTTATCTATCCTAATCTACCAACTGAGCACTGTAAAAATCATACACCTTTTTGGAAGTTATCTATCCTAATCTACCAACTGAGCACTGTAAAAATCTCCAGTGCATGTAATATTCTGAATTCATGATTGCAGGTCATTTGGTCCAAAACATCAGCCATCAGCTATTTCCTGCACAAGTCCCTATCTACAGAAGGGTTATTCATTAGGTCTTTGCAGATTCATACTCCTTTTCCCATCTTGCTAGATTCCATAGTGCTACTTTTCCATCTCCTTTGCAAATTAAGTCGCCGTGTCAGTGATTCATGTGGAAAATAACAACACCTGCACTTCATCCTCTTTTGGCTGTGCTGCTCAGGTGAAGGAACACCCTTTGCTGAAAGCAAACCAAATCATGAAGGTCTGGACTAACACTGTTGCAGAAAAGGGATATTCTTGGTACTAAAACTCCTGGGGAAAAGCCAGCTCTAGCCTGAGCAGTTGGAACTTGCTGTGCTGTGTTTGACTTGCATGGGCATCTTCATTATTGAAAGCTCAAAGAAAACTGTTTCTCCCTATGTGGTGTCTTCTCTTCTGTTCAGGGAATAAATAACCTATTCCTTGCTTCATTCACTTCTGTAACTGCCACTGCTATTGCTGTTTCCTGTAAGAAACCATGGAGCTGCACTTGGAATATTACTGTGTAATTAAAGGGTATAAAATACTTTCACTATAAGCATATTCCCTGTTAAACATACATGGTCATAAAATATTAAGAGAAACTAGATCAATCTATTGAAGATATTCACATACAAAAGTGTTTTTTGTAGGTCACAGGAATTCATAAGAAAACTTACTGCACATTATAGAGCTCTGAGCTGTATGACCATTTCGTGTCCCTGTGGATATAGCAAAAGAATGCTCATCAAGTTACTGGCACACAACTCAATTTTTACATAGAAGAATAAAGCTTGGTGTTAAATAATGCCTAAAAGCAAATAGAAAGCACCTTGTCTCCTTCAAATGGCATCCTCCCAGGAAATGCAAAAAAATCAATATATAATAGTAGCTTATGATCTCATTTAAGTGATTCAACACAACAAAATTTCAATGACATTTCTTTCTTCTGTGACTATTGTCTTGCCTTTTCTCTCCAAATGGCACTACTAGATTTGGATTTTTTTCATCCTTTTCTTAGGACCTTGATGTGGAAGGCAGCCTGTTCTGGGGAAAAAAACAACCATGTAGTGTATTAAACTACTGGAGATTAACAGAAGCCAAAAAAATTCATGAGTACCATGGATTCTATAGCTGTAGTCTGGGGAGGGGAAGACCTGTGCAACATCAGGCTGGCTGGACTATCCCCTGGGACTCATGGGATTGTCTCCTACCATAGATGTCTGTGTTTTCTTCCTAGTTTATCTCTGGTTGATTTTAACCAGGACAAAAGCTTTACTTTCCCTGTTAAATTGCCCTATATCTGCCTTATACAGGAAGTGTAGATGGCTTATACTTCCCAGTCATACCAATTTTTATGTCTTTCTGAATGGGATTATTGCTTGGGCCTCCAGAAGATGTTATACTTATTTACATTTGAGTTAAGCACTGGTGATCCCCTCCTTATGGCTTCACTGAAGAAAGAAGGTGGTGGTGGCAGCGAGCAGATAAATCACAAAAGACACGCTTCATCTGCCTGATCTCTGGTCTCACTTCTGCCCTTAGAAATAGTGCAATAGTTCAAGTTTATAGCCTTTGTGGATTAGAAAAGCACCCTTATGCTGTTGAGAAGAGAAAATGTCCATAAACAGTGTTATTGACAGTTATTACTGTTGTATTGCTGAAGACCAGGGCTCATTGTGCTAAGTGCTGTGTAAATGTATTTTAGAGGGTTTCCCTGCTATAAACAGCAATATTTTTGTTAGAAGCAGAAGGTCTCGTTATTCCTGTAACTCTCTTTGCTCTGTTTTGCAGCTCAAATAGCACTTGGGCAGTCATGCCTTGGTAAGAGTCAGAAGAACCAACTTCAGACAGATGTGTTTCCATCATGTGAGTACTTCTTTATATCTTCTGTCTCCACCACATTTGGACTTTTGCTGTCCTTACTCCAGGGAAAATTTGCCACACTCCACGTGTCCAAAAAGAAACCACCAGAAGCAAGCAAGGTGAAGAAACATAAACTGGTTGAAAGAAGATTTGAGGGGTTTCTTATTTTCAAAAAAAAAAAAAAAAATTATATAGAGCTTTTTGATCTTTTAGAATAAGTACATGCTCAGGTTAACCTGTGACGGACACAGAAGGCACTACAGAAATAGTGGAATTGACAAATGCCTATGATTGAATTCTAATCAGAAAACAGAGTTCTTTACTCTTTCTGTACTTCTAGTCTGGTGATCCAGATTGCCCCTAACCAACACCTACATAAGTGGCAGAAAGAAGCTATAAACATCCTAGAGAGATGGTGCTGGAGAGGCCTGAAAGACTAGGCATGCTTTCCACCCCTGCATTCTGGGCTTTTTTATTGGAACATATTTTCCTTCTCCCCTTCCTTTCTTACATGACAACTCTATTTACACCTTGCCAACTTCTTACTCTTTAGTTTTGGTAACAGTATTGCTGATTCATTGATCCTCTCACAATCCAGAGCTCCTTTCAGTCCTTTCCAGCAATGCTGCTGCCTGGCCAATTATTTTATTGTGCTGATGCATCTTTTCCTTTCCCCTCTGACCAGCTCTTATCTCACAACAGTCTCCACGTTTTCTTTGGTGTGTCCTTTTCAAAATGGAGAGTTAATAACTAGGTCAGCTTCAATAAGAGAGGTGAGTGTGGAGTGCTAGTCTGTGCTCAGGAGCCTCCTCACCCCTTACAGAAAGAATCTCTCACATTTCTTCAAACTTAATCCGCTTTTAATGGCCTTACTTATTAGTTGCTAAGCTGTTTTCTTCTGGAGAGCTAGAAAAGATAGCCCACATAGTAAGATGCTGGTATTTTGTGGTTAGGCACAACGTCAGAATGTCTGAATTTGTATCTTGCTCTTTTTGGTGGATTAGGACCACTTAGGAAACTTACTC